TCAAGCAATTTCAGCGCACGGATAGTAGGACCCGCACACCTGTTTTTTTTTTCCAAACGAAATGCATGTACAGTACGTTCACGTCCTAGCTCTAATGTCTCCGAGGGACTTGGTCAAAAAATATTTAACTAATTTAGTAATAAATAAAAGTACCTATGAGTGCTTCAGAAATAATTAATCTAAAGTTGTAGCCCAAAACTCGAAAACTAGTAGTAGGTTTTACGACAAGGTTGTATTTGATTTTGGAACGAAAGGGATAGGTTAATCCTATCTCTTTTTTCTCGGCCAGGACAGTCCAATTTATTGTATTGGGATGAAGGGGGTTGGTCCTATCTCAATTCTCTAAGCTAGGATAGTCTACTATGTTGTTTGGTTGGAGGGGCTAGGTTATCTCTATTTTTGTTTTGTTTTAGGAAAAAAGGATGGATACACTACCGAAAACCGGCACTTTGCCGAGTGCCGGAGGCTTTGCCAAGTGTATTTTATCGGGCACTCGGCAAAAACGGTCTTTGCCGAGTGCCAAATAAAATACACTCGGCAAAAAAAAAACACTCGACAAAATGTGTGTTTGCCGAGTGCCTTTTTTCTGGCACTTGGCAAAGATGTATTTTGCCGAGTGCTATTTTTCGGCACACGGCAAAATGCGTCTTTGTCGAGTGCCTTTTTTCTGGCACTCGGCAAAGATGTATTTTGCCGAGTGCTATTTTTCGGCACACGGCAAAATGCGTCTTTGCCGAGTGCCTCTCGGCAAAGATGTATTTTGCCGAGTGCTATTTTTTGGCACACGGCAAAATGCGTCTTTGCCGAATGTCTTTTTCTGGCACTCGGCAAAGATGTATTTTATCAAGTGCCTTTGTTTTGGCACTCGGCAAAGAGGTATTTTGCCGTGTGCATTTTTTTCCCTCGGCAAATCAGTTTTTCAAAGCAATTTTGGAGGCCCTAAATGAATTCAAATGAAAAACTTTTCAACTACAAAGTTGTATAACTTCTCAAGATCTACAAAAGTTTATTTTGGTCATTTCTTCATTTGACAAAGCGACAATAACGTTTTTTATAAAATCTACATCTCTCATATTAGTTTTATGAAAGTAGAAGAGAAATATATAAGATTTGTGAACAATGTTACTATCACTATGTCGGATGAACAAATGACCAAAAGAAACTTTGTAGATCTTGAGAAGTTATGAAATTTTGTAGTTGGCAACATTTTAATTTGAAATCATCTTGTGATGCAAAAACGACGTTTGAATTTGAAAATTTTAAAATTTGAATTTTTCAAAAGACCTCGGATGAAAAACTTCCTAAATGAAAATTGTAGATCTTCAAAAGTTATGAAACTATGTAGTTGACAACTTTTTGTTTTGAAATCATCTTATCATGCAAAACTACGTTTGAATCTCTCAAATTTGAAATTCGAATTTTTCAAACGACCTCGGATGGAAAAACTTTCTAAATGAAAATTATAGATCTTGAAAAGTTAAGAAACTTTGTAGTTGACCACTTTTTTATTTGAATTCGTTTAGGGCCTCAAACAAGCAATTTACTCTCGGTTTAATATAATATATGAGGATAGATAACGAAATTTGCAGTGGTAGAGCAGCACACGCGAGGAAAGGTCGTGAGTTCGAACCCGCTGGCCACGTTAGCGCGAATTTAGCCTAAAAAATGTAGCGACTTCGACGGAGACGGGAGGGCGTTGGCCGGTGGCGGCCTCCCCCGATTTTTTTTTTTGAATTTTTGCTATTATTTTTGGGTTTTTTCGCATTTTCATTTTGTCGAGTGTAAATCTTTGCCAAGTGCCCGGCATGCGGCACTTGGTAAAGAAACCTTTGCCGTGAAGGGATATGTCGATAGCTCTTTACCGAGTGTAGTACTCGGCAAAGGCTTTGCTGAATGCAGAGCCTTTTTTGCTGAGTGTAATTGCACTCGGCAAAGCACACGTCTGCTGTAGTGATAGAGGGCTGTTTTGCATCCATCAGCAACCGTCAAGGGCACCCATGTATCATACTTTTTTTCCGCTTCCTCCTTTCATCTCTCAAAGCAGAGCACGTCCATGGCGCAACAACACTGCTCAGCCGGCCGCCCTTCCAGACATACCTCCCTCGCCGGCGTAGCAGCCTCGTCTGGACACCCCTCCCTCACCGGTGCAGAGGAAAGTAGCCCCGGTCGATTGCCCCTGCGAGTCTCCCCGGGGTATATTAATGGTCAACGGTGTCTGTAGGGCGTGACCAAACCAGCATCTCGAGGAAAAAGTCGCAAGAAACAAAAAAATCAATGGCGTCAGAAAGGGACAACGAGGTACATCAGTTTTGAGGGGACCAGAGACAACATCTTTGATAGAATATTCTATCTCAATGACGGTTTTATTATCCCACCTTTCTTGAACCAAACGCTAGGACGAAGTGAGCCCTAGTCCCGCCCCTAACCAAACATAGTCTAACTTAACTATCTAAGCAATGCTCAATTGACTAACTCGCTCGCTGATAAATAATTCTATCTTGTTATTTTCGTATTTATAAAACTGAAAAATGTTAGAACGATGATTTCCTTTCACCTAAGTAGTTCTTTTATTTAATTTCGTTCATCCGTAAATGAATATACTCTCTTCATCCTAAAATACTTGATATTATAGGATTCAAATTTTGTTCTTGATCTTCTCACTTCCTAATGCACATCTCTTCTCCTATTTTCTTTTTGCCAATACATCTCTATCTATGTCTCTCTCGTTTCCTCACGCAGCTTAACACTCATTACCATTTTTTCTTCGCACGCTACAACACAACTTCGTACTCCCTTAAGGCCTGTTTAGCATAGCTTCTTGTGACTTCTGCTCGGCACTATTCCTCGAACTTCGGCTCCTCTTGTACTATAGTATAGAGCTGCAGTCTTAAGGGGCCCGGCCAAACGCGCCTTAGTCCTTACCTCTGTGGTGTCCCATTATCGTCGTAACCTGAGCATGCCTCCACCCTGATACCATCCGTTAGTGGCTTGCTACCGCTTGCTACGAGTATTATGTTAGAAAATTAATAGAGGAATGACATAAGATAAAGCAATTATCATTAGTTGTAGCCACAGGGGTTTCCACTTTTAACGAATAATATGCCGTCACACATGGAAAAGAACATGCCAAAGGCAATACTAATACTAGTAAGATTTTAGTTGCTAGTCTACAACGAGTCTCCTGGCGATTCTTTTTACGGGACTAGTAAGATTTTAGTTGCTAGTCTACTTAAATGATAAGCAGGGAGGATCTTTCCCTGTAGCCCAGGATATGGAGGAGCTACTCAAGCCACTCAACTAGAGACCCTTTCCCTGGTTGTATACTAGTATAGAAAATGCAGTAAAAAGAACACAAAATAATTGTCATTCGGTCATTCCAGCGCAAGGACTCGACTGATTTTATCCTCCGGATATGGAGCACAAGAGGAGTGTTGGGTGGGCAACTGGGCATAGCGGACTCCCGCCTCACACGTCCACACGACCACACCACAGGAACGGTGATGGGTTGAGTTGGGGTACCAGCGTAGTACACCGCACTGCGGCGACGGCGACTAAAAAAATCGGCGCTGAGGCTGAGGAGCGACGACGAGAAGGCGTAAAGGGCATGGAGTGGCCTTGAACGAGGAGCCTGCCTTACTACGTAGCTCGGATTTTGAGCAAGGGCCTCGTTTTGATTGGCATTAGGAATTAGTGTTTGTCAAAGATTTCGCCTTTAATAATTATTGTACAATTATGATCTAACTGTAACGTTTAGTTACCCAAAATTTTTTTATGCTATCTAAATTTATTAATCACATCAAATTTATCATAATGGATATTATATGTTGGAGAAATCAAAAAACTAATTATACAGTTTAAACAACGAGCCGTTTTAAGCCTAATTAGTCAACGATTGAATCAATTATTATCAAATAAAAACAAAACGCTACAATGAATTTATATTTGGCACCGAATCAATCATGGCGCCGATTCGGTGGCCGAACTAAACGTGGCCTTGGCTCAAAAGATTTGTCTTGTAATTTACAATCAAACCGTGTAATTAATTATTTTTTATCTACATTTAATACTCCATACATGTATCAAAAATTTGATGTGATGGAGAGAGTGAAAAAACTTACAATCTAAACAGGCCAAGGCCACGGGCAGGAAGTAAATGCGGAGTTCAGAGAGTTCCTCGCTGCGGCGCTGCTGTTGCTGCCTGCTGCAGTGGCAGTCGCAGGGTGGAGAGGGGCATCGCCACCATGATAATACAGCCGGACTTGTGTTTGGGTGCTCGGGGCCGCAGCAGACAGCGGCAGGACCAGGACCGCTCCGCTCCTGGCTCCTTCCTCGCTTTCTTTTTCTCCTACTACGGAGTACTACCAGTAGTGCTACTGCCTTGTACGAGTACTTGTACGTGTGCACTGTGCAGGCTCTGTAGCGTGGATAATGCAGTAGTAGTGAATTTTCTTCTCTCAAAAGGATAGATGGTCCAGGAGAACCAGAAGTGCTGCCAAGTTTTCTGGCTCAGTCATGCAACAAGCTTTACTACTTTCCCGATGAGATTTCGCGTATTAATGGAACTCAAGAACTAGCCGTCATCAGGCCCCAGAGTTCAGGAGCTCTTCTTTCCTGTGTTCGGTTAAAAACGTACTGTAGCTCAGTTGTCCCCTATGGCAATTGGCCAAAGCATAATTTGGTGGTTCATTTGGATTTCACCTCTAGCTGTCCTCATATATATATGGCGGAAGGCAGAAAACATTCTGAAAACGAGATACAGCAAACAGGGGAAAGCTTCACACCTCAAAACAAATATGGCGCTGCAAAATCAGCTAGGAGAAATGAGGAAAGCCTACCAGCTATATAGCGTGTCTGACCCCCTCCCATGCTGGCCGGACTGCAGCCAAACGAAGGCGTGTCACGAGCGAGCGAGAGGTCGTTTGCACTTCCACCTTTTAGCTCACCGGACCAAAGCCATGGCGAGAGAAGGCTCGCCCAGGTAGGGAAGGTGAATTTAATTACTAATTTATAAACAATCCACGAAAGCTATATGATTCTACGTGTATGATTATGTCTCGTCTTTTCGGGGGCAAGCCAGTAACGGGTTGAGATTTCTTGCTAGCATATACCTGCATAGATAAGAGAAACCCAACTAGAAACAATGTCAGCACCATGGCGAACCAACGCCAAATTTAAACAACACAACACATTTGATGAAATGATGATGTACGCGACTCCAAGTTATTCATTCTCGTACTAAATAGACAAACATCCCTGTTGATTTCTCAGACCAGAGCACCTCAGGGTATGACAAAAAAGAAACAGAGTACAAAACGAGCTGCGAAGTTTGTTATTATGAAAGAAATAAGTAAACAGTTCTGTACCCATAACCTGGACAAGTTGCTTGTGCCAAACACATTTCAGCACAGACGAGACAAACGTTTTATCCAAGCATTACATCACCGGACAGAATCTAAATGGTGACCAGGGCACCAAGCAAAGAGACATGGCTGCAAGGGTAAGACAGCACAGAATGATGCAGCTTACCACCGATTATTGGCAAACTTAACCACTTCACTACCGTTCACACTCCACAGACCTCAAGTGCAATGGCCGACTTGTCACACCCAATAACCCGTCTGAGGCACACATCCCCAAGTTCGACTTGGGCAACAAGCTTGTGTGCAGCACCCACAGACCACACGCCCAGAACCAGCAACAGGGTTAAAATGTCCTGTGTGAAACAGTTAACGACACAACGGACGAAAAATAAGAGCAATACAAAGAAACTAGAAGCAGGACAGGGTCTAGGAATAGGCACCTAGCAATATACACTACTTTGTGCCTAATGTGGCAGGACATTTGCCCTCATATAGCCATAATAGTGTCAGCATGACAAGGTAATCAGAAAAGTTGGGTGCCTCATCTCACGTAATCCACCAACATAGAATTGTCTCTGATGCACCAAACGAGATCAACACCATAAAACCTGCACATATAACAGAGGGTCAACTTTATTCACATATACTGGCTCTTCCCATGCGCTTATACACACCAAATAAACACGATCGACTGAAATCTTGTAGGTTAAAAGCCAAATGGATGCCAAGCTTTCCAGTAACCTCCAGGTTCCAGCAATGGAACATTTCCGTGAAACTATGTTAATAATTTCAAGTTTGAATATAGACTTAAACCATTGAAGTTCATGAATAAATAATCTACAATAACAATCTACGCTCACCTCGCCACTATGCAAATGACAAGGTATTCAATCTGTAAAGCAGCTAAAGGAAGTTAATGGCTCCTTGTGGAGATCTGGATAAAATTGTCAGAACACAGTTGCCGAGTATTATGTCTTGTGGACAAAAGGTAGATTAACTAACAACATGTTACAGTCAATCGTAGGTTGAAACATCCTAGCCGGCAGTTAAACACCACTTATTTCATACTTGCACATGTACTTCTATGAAAAAAAAAATGATAACAAAATAGGAGTACAACTTCAAATCTAAAGTACATCAAAGAGTTTCAGCAATTTTATGCTCTGGCAACAGAACCACTAAATCATTCTATGAAGCATGCAAAAGGATCAGTTGAAACAGCATTTTGTAGGACATTGTTAAGTTATGCTTAAAGAACCGAGTAGCAGGCGTTAATGGATCATGCAGAGAGACGACAGACCCCAAAAAAGAACTAAAGAAAAGATTTACCTGATGAGCTGGTATTTACAAAAGTTGTCTCCTTATTATTCGCGGAGAAATGAATGAAGATGAAAACTGTCAGATTATTGGCAATATATAACCTGGTCTATCTGAGGAGGAATTGGTTTTATTTCAGTCCCAAGCTCTTGTTCAATCCTATACCTGTTCCCAGAAACAGTATTCAGTCAGAACAATGTGGGGAATAGAAAAGGTCAACAAAGTTGCAGTGGGCAAATCTGCGTACAAGTTAAACCGATCCTCATAGGTGATCAAATTAACGGCCAGACCAAGGTGACCAAATCTCCCAGATCTACCAACCTGCCAAGCCAAAAAGGGTGTTAAAATTGCCAGAGATGGATGCCACAAGTAGAATGAACCAGATAGATTCAACTCCTAAATATCACTAAGGATAATCTGTAAACAAGATAAATGGCAACTTTTTTTTTTCAAAGGTGCCTTAAAACTGCTAAAATGTCAGTCATGCATCATAGTATGTCACACTTAAATTTTAGGTTATGAAATGAAATGAAAACAAATAAAAGGAACAGTTACATCAATCCTACCCTGTGGAGATATGTTTCAGAGTTCTTGGGGAAATCAAAATTGATAACAACATTCACAGCTTGAATATCTATTCCCCTTGTAAAAAGATCTGCAAAACAAAAGGCGCAGAGTAGGTTAGAAAACAGAAACAAGAAGTACAACAAACTACCTACATGCCACTAAGTCCAAAAGCTTAAGGCTCCTTCACATTTTGTTTAACAGAAACATTACATTCATAATCTTACACAATACCATTCCAGCAACCAATTGATAGAAAAAGATGGCGGAAACAGAATTGATTGACATTGAAGGATTTCTAGCATCTTTATCATTTCAGCTTTCACCACATGAACTAAATTAGTAGACAAATGTTTGACCTTAGTAATTTGCATGTCCTCCGTTTCACCATGCTTCTCCATAGCCTTGGGAGAATACATCTCAAAATGTTTTGTATATTGAGGAACCAAGAGGTCACAGCTAGGGCATGTTTCCCCTCTCTACCCTGAATTACAATGCTTTGGAGGAGGAAACTGATTGAATCACATCACTCAGTAGGTTATGGATGGTTATTTCACATTATTATTTTTTTTGCTTATATCCAATACTTCCTTGTTAGTGTGCATTCTGAACTATGGAGCAACATAAGAATCATAGTAGTTCAAATTATGCTATCAACTAGCATATTGCTGACAAGGATCCGGTCCTTGTTAGTGTGCATTGTGAACTATGGAGCAACATAATGAATTGTAGTAGTAGTTCAAATTATGCTATCAACTAGCATATTGCTGACAGGGATAAGGAAACGAATGACTTAACACTGACATTGAACTACAAACATTGTACATAAGAAAAAAATGTCTGTGAAAGATTGAGTCCACAAGAAAATTAATAGCATACCAGTACAAACAAGGTTCCTGCACGCTCCATTACGAAAATCATGGAAAACTCTATTACGGTGGTCCTGTAGCATCTTTGCATGAATATAGAAGCAAGAATAGCCAAGCTCTGTGATCTTCTTCGCCAATAGTTCAACACGATTTACAGAGTTACAGAATATTATTGACTGGTGGATTTGAAGCTGTACCAAAACAATCAACAATTGAATGACTTGCACGTTATGACTTAGGTGGGAAGCAAAATGCCTAATCAAATAAATCATGAAATGATAGAGGTGTTCATCAGCAAAACCTTGGAAAAGAGGGTGTTGAGACAGTGAACTTTCTGTCTTTCTTCAACAAAAGCATAGAACTGTGTAATTCCCTTCAGTGTAAGTTCATCCATAAGGTTAATCACATAAGGTTTAGGCAGATAGTTGTCCTTGAACTCCTTAACAGTTACAGGGAATGTCGCTGAAAACATCAAAATCTGTTGACTAGCAGGGAGGTAGCGAATCAACTGTTCTATGGAAGGTTGAAACTCAGGAGAGAGAAGCTTGTCTGCCTGGAAAAGGAAGAGATATCTATATGATTATTTTGTGGAAAGGTCAAGAATGAAGGACCAAAATTACAATAATAAAATAATTCAAACAAAATATTATTCAAGAAAAAGAAACAGTTCATTGACAACTTAAATGATGCATAACAGAGTACTAACATGTTTCTATTCACTAGGTACTATTTTTGTCCCTAGGAAGCATAACTTCAAACTGAAAGTTTTAAAGGGACTCATTAAAGCCTACATATGATCTTTCAGGATCATTCTAACCACTTTGTTCATTCTTATTTTACACCTTATTATGCAACTAACTTAACAGAGTCCAAGTGACAATGCCATGCACAGCATGGTTTCAAGAAAGAGTGCACCACCATCTTGCAACCAACACTAAACCCTGCTATTTTTGGGTCAAATCTTATTCAGAGTTTGACTGTCAAAATAAGAAAATTTCCCATTCTATGTTGAAATGCAAATTTAGATAGGTGCAGGTAGAATCAACCACTAGGTAATCTATTTAGGGTGCAACTCTGACACAGACGTTTACTGACTTATAGATAAATTTGCTTTTGGTGGTCACAAGCGTTGGTTGTTAATGAAACGCTTAACATTGAATAAACAACTTGGAAAGAACTCTCCTTCCAACATGATTCTCTTTGACATTAAGGTTACAAAAAAGTGGCAAGATACATTGCTGAAGAAAATGCAGCACAAGAGTGATAAAACTGGCCATTTACATGAGGTAGCAATACAAAAGCACTCAGATAAAGCTTGAAATGAATTACCTCATCCATAATAAGCATTGAACAGTCCTTCAAAATGCAAACACCTTTCTTTGTAAGATCCAAAATACGCCCAGGTGTTCCAACAAGTAAGTGCACAGGTTGGTACAGACAAACAATATCATCCTTCAAGCTGGTTCCACCAGTGGTGACCATAACTTGAATCTTCAAATGCTTACCAAGCTCCTTGCAAACTTGTCATGTTTGTAGAGCCAATTCCCTTGTGGGAACCAATATAACAACTGCAAATCATAAAGAGACCTTATTCAAGCATTTTTATGAAATATGCAATGAAAATTACATCTAAATATCAAAAACAATCATGCACACAAAAAAAGGAACCTGAGTAATGAAAAATAAAAACAAGACCACTGCCACTATGGAAGAGATCAAGTTTAAATCATCTTAGAATCTTTCAAATTCGTTGGATATCAAATAAAGTTCCAGAGTCTAGAACAGACCTTGAATATCATTTTTTTCTTGATCAATCTTTTCCAGTGCAGGAATACAAAATGCAGCAGTCTTGCCAGCTCCATTCTTCGCTCTTGCAAGAATGTCACTACCAGTTAAAGCAACAGGAATGATTTCCTCTTGGATAGGAGAGGGTCTTTCAAATCCCTTCTCATATATACCCATTAGGAGTTCACGCTTGAGAAAATAGTCTTCAAACTCATTTCAAACTCAATTTCCCTTTCACGGCTGGTTTTTACTGTTCACGCTGTAACAAATCCTCCATGATCCAAAATATTCCTAAAAATATTTAAAGGGAAAGGGGAAAATATAATAAATCACGAGTGCAGAGTAGCAACAACATAAGGCTCCGGATAAGACCAAACTTGTAGGTGGTAAAGAGAAGAGAAAAATAACACATAAATCAAATCATAGCTTTTCAGAACTTTATTCCCTTTTGGACCAAAAACGCATGTCAATATGCCATGCGCAAGGAAACTTCAGAAAAACATGTGTAGAAAGCTGGGCAGCACAACATTTATGAGTCCAACTGTGCCAGCTAATTGTCTAGACAGTGCCAATATACAGTTGTATAGTGAATCATATTCCCTTGGCATCGCTAGATAGGATGAATCAAAGTTGATCCTAGTACTACACAAATAGATACCATCAACCATGTAATAATTACACAAATATGGGGGTGTCTGAAGATGACTCTTGGCTGTAAAAGAACACTGATCAAATTTAGGTCCCTCAGAAACTTCTGGTGATCAGAATTACATTCCACTGTGACTGATGTAATGATTGAAAAACTAAAGAAAAAAACTCTACGCTGAACTTTTACTACAACAGACTAACCTACATTGGATAAAGACAAGTCCTGCAACGAATCTTAATGGAATAATGAAAAATTGAGCCCAGCATCAAGTTTCTTTCCTAGAATAACAATGAAATAACAGGGCAAAGTGCAGATGAAAACTAACTGTTTCTAAGTTTAGGGTGACACTCCCTCTGGTTGCTTTAGCTTTGTCCTAAGTAAAACTTATGTAAACTTGACCAAGTTCAAAGAAAAATCACAAACGTCTACAACATCAAATTAGTTTCATTAAATTCTGCATGAAGTATGCCTTGATACTGCATTTATTTGAACCTGTGGATGTAAGTATAGTTTCCAACTAACTGTGTCAAAGTAAGAGAAGTTTTGACATAGCACACAGCTAAAGTGACCTATAACTTGGGTAGTTGGGACGGAGCAAGAATTTATAACATTCTAAAATTGCAACAGGAAGGGGGCTTGAAATGCCATAACTTACCTCTGTCCTGTAGCGTGTATCTGGAGGCGGCAGCTTCAATTGGGCCTTCCAATCTTGCGAACTGCACATAAACAAGCATGTTCCTGTATAACTATCTCCACAAGAGTGGCTGCTAATAATCATGTAGCTATCAATAATAAACCAATCAAACAATTGGGAAACATTACTAGCTGCTAGTACAGGATACTACTGGTCACCTAGTTTAGTTACGAAATTAAAATGCAGCAAACCCGTCTTATCAGTCCCAACTTATGTGGAATCAGAATTTGGAACACATCTTTGGGCCACAAAAATTACCGATTCGAGACACCAATCACCAGGGTTTGGACACAGATAGCAAGCGTCAAGCTGCATTTGGTTCAATTTTGCCAGGGGAACGTTACTAAACCTTAGGGCAACGTTACTAGTGTCGACGTAAGGGTAACGTTACTAGCTGCTAGTAAAGGGTACTAATAGTCACCTGGTTAATTACGAAATTAAAATGCAGCAAACCCTAGTAGTCTTAGCAGTCCCAACTTATGTGGAATCAGAATTCGGAAGACATCTTTGGTTATCAATAAACCACAAAAATTACTGATACGAGACACCAAACACCAGGGTTTGCGCACAGATAGCAAGCCTCAAGCTGCATATGGTTCGATTTTGCCAGGGGAAACAAAGCCCGGCCCCCAGTGCTTATACTACGTACTAAAACGCACCAAGAACGATGGTAACACGACGCTATTGCCGAAGCCCTAAGTTCAGGTCATCTCACCTCGAATCGACGCCATCGGCGGCCGTGGATGGCGCCAGGGTCTTCGGCTCGCTGGTCACGGCTGCGCCCGCGGCCTCGCGGGCAATCTGGTTCCGCCGCAGCCACTGCTGCTGTTGCTGCTGGTGACTGTGGTTCTGCTGCTGTTGTTGATGGTGATTGTGGCTGTGGTGGTGTGGTGCTGCTGCTGCTGCTGGTGCGGCCTCTGCGCGTACTGCTGGTGGTGATGCGCCCCCGATGTCTGCTGGTGGTGGTGGTGCTGATGCGGCTGTTGCGGCGGTGGGCCGCGGCCGTAGTAGTTGGGGTTCCCACCGCGGCCGTTGCCCATGCCCGGTGGATACCTGGCGCGTGGATCCATGGTTGCGAGGAGGATTCAGATCTTCTCAGGAATCGGCTGGAGGATGCAGGATCGAAGGAGGACTTGCAGATCGGATCGGGAAAAGGATCTGGGAGGGTGGAGCCTAGAAGATTGGCTCCTGGATCAGGACCGATTTCGAACCCCTTTTGCCCTTCCGGCAGGGTTCGTGGGTGGGGGAGGAGCGACGGAAGGGTAGCGTCGCCGGATCGTCGAAACTTTAGGGCAACGGTGGGTTAGGATTAATGAAGGAGTAATTACGAAAATGGCCCTGGAAACTTCCTCAGTTCCGCAGTGTAGGCGCGCAGGCAACATGCCCAATTCCGTCTTATAAAAGGTTAAAAAGTGACCGTTTCGGCCTTTTAAAGTTTATTACTATTTATTTATTTTACTTAATTTGTTACTCTCCCAATCTACAGAAATATGCAACTATAAAATTTGTCTCAATCAAAATAGTTTAGATTTGATCAAATTTATAATAAATAGTATTGGCATTTATGCATTTGATAAAGTTTAATGTGAAAATGTACTTCATAATTAATTTAATGGTATTAATTTTGTATATCATTTTTATATAACCTTAGACATACGGGCTGTTTGCTAGTTAGTTTCTGAGTTGATAAACCCGGCCGGTGCTGGTTTGTTGTGAGAGAAAAATATTGTTGGCCAACTGATAAGCCCTGACTGAAACCAACAAACGAACATGTTGATAGTTCAAACTGTATAACTTCTCGAAAACCGCATTCTTCTGAGGAAGTACTCTATAAAAAAAAAACACAGATAGTTTTTAGACTTTTAAGACATATTAGTGCTCCGCAAAACCATTATTTTTATTTATTAAAAATGAACTATGCTAATTAAGGAATAAGTCCTCCGTAAAATAAATGCATAGGGACATGTGTAACCCAAACTCAAGCTCTTCTGTGCCCAATTTATTATTCAAGAGCTAAAACATCAAAAAAACAGAGAGAATGGCTACCTAGCAACCGGTTGTTTTGTCGGTTGCCTTTTAAAGTCAGCCACTATATTATTTATTCCTCGTCTCCACTTAATTTCCCCTCCTCCCCCAATCTACAGAAAGGGAGTGGGGATCTATCGCTTTTAATAAGTTTTTCCCAAAGATATCGAGTCTTTAAGGTTAGGGTCTCTTCATGCCAAATTTTTTAGGTTTGGTTTATTTCCCTCCTCCCGGGTAAATAGTATTAGCATTTATACATTTGATATGCGGGCAACAACTACGGCGTCAACATCCTTAATGACATGAAGACTTTATTTTCATAATTAATGGTGTAATGAAATAATTTTCTTTTGTCTCTTCTTCGTTTATTGTAGATCCTTAGACAATGAATGACTACTGAGAATAAGTTTCGATCGTTCCTCGTTTCTTGATGGCACAAAGAAGAATGAAGATACTAGAAAGAAAAGTTTCTCAACTCCGCTTACATAAATGTTGTCCGTCGTTCGTTGGGCATAGAAAAAGTGTTTACTCGCATTGGTCATCCATACTGCATTGAGATCTGGAGCTATTTACAGCGTGGGTATAATTTAGATGAAAATCAGTTTATGGATATTTGTGTAATCCAGAGTGCTTATAATGTGTTCATGTACCCAGCTATTATCTAATATAATTCTTCTTTCGTCGCAAAAAAACTAAAACATCAAGAATTTTTAAATATTTTTTTCATCTAGAACATCAAGTTTTCTGAATGGAGGGAAGTATTAGACCGTCATTTTATTTTATAGTTCTTATAAGTTTTACTTTTAAGCTTAGTTTCATCTGTGAACTATTAAAATGATCATTTTAATCCTCAAACTTTTTTCTAAGCTCGTCTTCGCTCCTCATATTACATGGCATGCTATGTTTTTATGCCTCTCAACTCAAGGACAGCTCCTCATCGTATGTGTAACTCATGTTTACTTTTCATGAGACACTGTCAGCGTAAAAATGTGTCGATGCGCTGGGCATACAGCAAGCCGAAAGGATCTGCTTAGGATGAGCCTGGAGATCTGCTTGGCTTCAACGCAGGGTTAGCCGATCCTGTGTATTCCTCCTGAGGCATGCCAGTCAATTTGACTTGTAATTGATAAGGAAAGAAAGTTTATCAGTAATTTAAGGTGAAACATGCCGGTCTTTGCCTAGACAATACCAAATGTGTCGCTTCGGGAGTAGCCAGACGGGAAAATCGACTAAACGGCCGATACGCGAAGAAATCGGCTATTACGGACTATGAAGCTCGTGGATCGCGATTGATTTTATGTTGACAGGTACAATGCACGTGGATATAAGCAAAATCATCTTTGGATATTACTAGGTAAAGCATTGAGTCTTTCCATGCCAATTTTTTTTAGTACGAATGGATCTACAAACGCTCCTGTTACCATCAACAAGATGATTTCGATAGGATCAATGGCGCTTATGATGATAATAACAAACCAAAACTAAAGAATCCAGTTCTATATATTGACAAAGCTTTTGAAAGACATGTTATATGTGTGAACGCTCAAGCTTAATCATTGAAGAGCGATTCAAAAAGGACTACAACATGTGAATAATCGACTATTTAACATGGACAAATCTATGAACTCATCGGACTTAACTGACATGATGATCGATGTTAGCCGTGATAAAAGACAACAAATCAAACATTCAAAGTAAATTTATTCACATTTAACGAATCATGAAGACACACTGTTGTAGGCATTAAAGCATAGGCGATCGGCTATTTAGCCAATGCCATAGAAATAATTAATGTCACGCTCGATTGAGAATAAATCTTCTCCTCCGATCTAAAGTGCCATCGTGGGGATCGGATCGATCGCTGACCATAACATCGAACTATAGACTAGATTTAACCAGCCCAATCCTCAAGATCGGACATGCCTTCCTCATTCTTGCATGATTAAGATCGAAATAGAACAACCAATGAAAGATAACCCGTCGCTCAAAGTAAGAAACATTCTTGTAACTCCAAACGACGGACTAAAATGATGTAAGGTTCTAGATCGATCTCGACCGGATAGGTTGATGTTGTTGAAAATTAATGACGATAATCTAGCAAGATCGATAACTTAATGAATCTACCCAAAGGATGCCACTTTAGTCATAACTGACATTGATCTAATTCGAGCGGAGGTTGAACTTAACCATGTAGCCGCATTTGAACTAGATAAAGAGTCGATAACTAGTTTATACTAGAGTTCGCAGTGGAGGTAATTTAACCGATTAAATCAAATGTAAGTATAAGCCATGATATTTGTGTAATCCAGGATCGATGCAGTGCTTGTTTGTTGAAAAACTGAGATCTACACTACCCTACTCCTAAGGATTAGTGTAAAGTCAAAAAAGTAACTTGTAATTGATTGGATGTCTTTTTACGATAGCAAAATATTTATACCGGGCCTAAGCATGAATCCTACACAACTTTTATAATCTTTTATAAAAGAAAACATTCTATCTTAAGATAACTTGGACCCTAATCTTTCCTTTTTTATCCGAATGGATTTCCGGCCAAGTATTAGATCTCATTTTATTTATCTGCGGACGTCATTCGATAGAGCTTTCCACTTTTCTCGAATGAGTTGATATTTCATTCTTATGCAATCGATTCTTTGATTAACAATCTGAAGCTTTTTTCCGCCTCAAATTTTGGTGTAAACACATGTTTCCCAATTTTGGGATAAAAGTAATTTTATTCTAAAATTACCACGTCTGTACCCCCGATAGGTCCACGGTCATGGGTAGAGAATCTCGATCTGGGGCCTACTATCTGTCATTGTCCTTACCTTCTTATGAGCCCATGCTTCAAAGCTTCAAGAGAACACCATTGTTTCACGGGCGCTTGGATTCATCTTTCCAGATCGACTATAAATGTCTATCCGACTCTGGCGAGAGCAACTCAACAACTCAGTTATATTTTCCTTCTGCTTGCTTCCTCGAGTGCCTTTGGCTCCACCAGACCCTCCATGGTCTAATTCCTTGCTACAAGGGTCTTGAGTGGTTAGAAAAATTCTTGTGTATAGGGTGATTGTGTCGCTCATTTCAGCGCCTTGTCGAGCAAGAGGATCAGCCACTGTGGTTAGAAGAACTCTTGTGACATCACCTGAGTTTTCTCACCATGCTCGCAGAGCTGTTCTAGTGTTTGCAAGGGCTAAAATATGTGGACACCTTTTGTAACAGAATCGATCAATTTATAAGAGCACAAGTACGAAATCAATCACCGGAGTGATCAAACAGTCATACTTGAACCCATATACACCCGGTAGTCAACTGAAACCACGAAGGATTTCAAACCAACTTGCATACAACCAAGATCACAGTAATTCAACATAACAAGCCACATGTTACATCCATTTCACAAGTAGTTCGCAAGTAACTCATACATCGTAGTACACATAGTTATTACAAAACGAGTTCACAAATAGCGGAAGCAAAGTAGTTTGAGACCATCACACACACTTAGTTCAAATACAAGCCAAAGACCATAGTCATATCCAAAGAAAAGCGATAAGATAACATGGATCATGCCCATGATCTAGTCTTATCCCCAAAGAGGTGGAGACAATACTTGCGATGGATATAAGCAAAATCCGCAACAAGAGGGATAAACCCGAGTAATGCGAGAATGTACTCATTAGACTTACCCGTCATAAACCAAAATAAAAGACACCAAGGAGTATGCAAGGCTTTATCGATGGATCTTGTACGGACAACCTTTTTGCATAAAAGCTTGAGTAACCATTAGCATTATTCACCGTATCTAGCAAAGTGACTTTTAGCTATTTCCTACCATCTATATTAGCACTGTACTAATCAATCATTTGATTTAGTTGCAAACAATAATAATATCGGTATTTCATGGCTCATCATTATCATCCTCCTCATGATCATCATCATTTAACCATATCTTTACATTTGGTGAATCTTTTTGAAAGACATTCTCACTATCCCGGGAGAGACGATTTATTCAATCGATTCCTATCCACCGGAGGGGTATTCCTAACAC